AGAAGAAGATGAGATGGATGAGTAACAAAAGTGAAAATAAATTTAATTAGTTCATACTCTTGTTACTCCTCCCTCCCATCCTCCCCTCTCAATCCCATCTCCACTCTCATTCTCTCTTCTTTTTCCTTTATACTCTAGCACAAAAAATGAAAAAAAAAATTACTAAAATTGAAATGGTTATCAAACAAGTCCTTAATTAATCAAACGTGAATTTCATAGAAAATTTATATCATTTTCATTTTATTTATTGGATTGTGATAGGAGTTGAAAATTAGTACATGCACACAATTAGAGTACACTTATACATTTTGCGACCTTTTATGGGATTTAATGCTTTAAATTTCTAAGCTAAGCACCCCAAAATTGCCCTATGCCTTCAATCATGGGTAAAAGTAGGACTATATTTTTCGGTTATTTATTTGTACAATTTGGTTGATTGACTATTTTCTTCTCATTGACCTTCTTATAGTACTAGGTCACTTACCTTAAGGTCTGTTTGATAACTACTTCAATTTTAGCTTTTAGTTTTTATTCTTTTGTGCTAGAGTATAAAGAAAAATAAGAGTGCGGAAGAGACTGAGAGAGAGGATGAGAGAAGAAGATGAGATGGATGAGTAACAAAAGTGAAAATAAATTTAATTAGTTCATACTCTTGTTACTCCTCCCTCCCATCCTCCCCTCTCAATCCCATCTCCACTCTCATTCTCTCTTCTTTTTCCTTTATACTCTAGCACAAAAAATGAAAAAAAAAATTACTAAAATTGAAATGGTTATCAAACAAGTCCTTAATTAATCAAACGTGAATTTCATAGGAGTTTTTTTTTTAAATTTATATTTTTAGATTGTGATAGGAGTTGAAAGTTAGTACATGCAGACAATTGGAGCACACTTATACATTTTTGTTTTATGGCAAAATTAAACCACAAAAATATTAGCAAAATATATAAGTTTAAAAACAAAAAATAGTGATTTGTATTAGTAATAATAATTTTCAATAGCATCTAAATATAATAAAAGCTCATTTAAAAGTGCTTCTAAAAGGATTAAAGCGTCTTCTAACAAAATAAGGAAGTCAACTATACCATACACCGACGTAAGTTTCAACCAGAAACGGTTGAATATACACTGACACAAATTGGATTAATGGAGGATTTGTTTTCCCAACTCCCAATGAGCAGCTAGCTCACTACTTAACCAATTCAACTTTAATGCATGGGCCATGAAAAAGAAACCCTACTTGTTACGTGCTGACCGCGACTGATCTAATATTATATTACATTTTATTCATACATTTTTTTATATAATTTCTAAAGAAAATAAAATTTGAAAAAAAAAATTAAAACAATATGAAACCTTTGGCCTATCATTCATTCCTTGTTGCTCCTCCTTCTCTTTCCTTCAGCATAATTTTGGAATTTCGAAACCAATAAATAAAAATTATTAAAAAGATGGAACAAAAGTCAGATGCACACGTGTTAGTCTTACGTAGTCTGACTTTCAATCACAATATGGAAAACGATTGTGGTAGCATCGTAATTATAGCACTTTGTTTTCCATATATTCATTAATGTGCGGATTTGTTTGTTAGGAAATCTTGGGTTAGATGTGGCATGCACCTATCTAATGCACATGTACAAGGCAATGAAGTTATATCACGGCTTCTTTCTTTTTTGTCGGAGGAATGAACATCTCATTACCGAGTAGAGATTACTAAAACGCTTCTTTCTTGAATTGGGGAATTGAGAATTCAAATTTGAGACATTCCAAAGAAAACAAATTTAAGACTTTTCCAATTGGCATGTCAAATTAATGCAAGCTCTTCCTTGAAAAAAAAAAAAACTAAGTGAAAAATGGTTCCTTTTTTAACTTTAAGAAAAATTCACAAGCTGTCGGAATTGATTTGGACGTTCAAAATGAAAGCGGTCAAAATCGAATTTTCCAATCCGACTTGCACCTCTATTCACAAGTCTTAGCAACATAGCTAGTTACACACATCCAACTTTCAAAACCGATCACATGAAAACAAATAAACTCTTAGGCTAATCATACTCAAAGAAGCAAACCAAACAGGTCCTATATTGATGTATATAGTGTAGGCTTAGGGTTTTGAGTCTTCTGAAATTGACTTCCTCTAGGCTCTAGATCTCTTCCTTTAGCCAGTGATTGAGCTAAAAGCTTGCAGCGACTAGCTAGGGTTGTTATATATATAGGCAGCACTTTATTTTGTTAATTATTTGTGAGTTTCAAACAGTTTGGCAAAACTTTCAAGTGCTAGCAGACAGCAGATACATGGGGGTGGGGCAAGTTGGCTTCGTTTGTTTTTCAGGTTCTTATCATATATTGAAAGAGTGCGTCGAATTAAATATGCAGAAAAATATGTTTCAGATGGGTCCCTCAGTTTTGAAGTTTGGATAGATAGAAGATGCACTGAAATTAAACCCATGTCACACACATACATACAATCTTGCCAGCAAACGACATGTAGCACTGCTACTATTTAGAGTTTCACATCGGTCCCTACTGTCATTTTCTTCTTTAGTGACCACCAAAAACATTATTGCACGTCTTGTTCAGTAACAGAGTTGTGCAGAAGGACAAAAAAAAAAACAGTAATTTTTTTTTGGGAATTTCACTAAAACAGACAAAATGGGAACTGAAATTATAAAAAAACCCAACACCCAAAATACTTTATAAACATACCCAAAATCCATCATTACACACACTCAAAACTCATTTATAAACACACCCAAAAAATATACAATTGTTGATTTTGAGGTTGATTTTGAGTATGTTTCTATGTTTAAATAGTGTTTGAATTTTTTTATAAATACATGCCTAGGATTGGGTTTATTTATAAATTTGTATTTTTGTTTTTAGTTCTTCAAATTTTTTCCTTTGAATTTTGTCTCTTAGTCCTTAAGGCTCTATATGGTATGATGACCCATTGGATTTTTGTTCGGGTTGATAATACTAATAAAATAGTTAGCGTTCTCCTCGGTATCATCTTCTTGTACTTTCTCGTTATCATTTTGCAATAATCTAATCTAAATTATCGGTATAAAGATTCGAACCTGAATGCAGATTGAGAATATACTTATTTAGTCGTGTTATAATATAAATAAAACACATGTTTTAGATAAACACTAAATTATCGCTGTATTAATTAAATTGCTAAATAAATTTCAATGTAATTTACTTATTGCTGAAACTGTCTTAAATTTTTGTCCTTAAAAATAAAAGAATTTCGATCATAGAATTCATTGGTGGATGAGAATGAGTTTGAGAAAGGAAGAAGAAAGATGAGGTGGCGAGGCAATAATAGGATACTTGAATTGAAAGGAAAAATTAGAAAAGCATGAAACGTGCTGCCAAATGACGCATCAGGCCCCAGAAAACTTGCCTCTAAACTAAGATTTTAAGGGTGGGAAATGTCTTAATCTCCTGCGTTGTCATCTCCATAATTTTGGACGGATCTGATATCTACATATTCTTACACATTACTGTCAGACTTATCAACGCGATCCTAGCAAATCTATTGGTCAAAGTGGAGGGCCCACCGGGACCCACTCCAAAATTTCAGCATCACATCACCTTACTTCCTCATCAACGCTACCCTGGGCCCTGCCGTACTGGATGTCTATCCCCGTGTTCAGACTGTTCAATATAATTGTGGACTCAAAAAAAAGAGGAGAATAAATAAATAAATACTCAAAGCTAATTGCTTCTGCAGGCATTCTACGTCGTCGTATTTTACGTATTTTGTGACAGTGTTCCTGTTGTTACGTCCACGCGGTTGCCAAATGCCAAGCTTTCCTTCTTCTTCACGAACATTTCCTTGCCTTGTAGCTATGGATATATATTATATTTTATATAAAATAATTAAATAGTGAAAAAAATAAATAGTTAATGTCCCACAGCTGTGGAACAAAAGTAGTAATTAACAAAATAATTAAAATGAAGTAGGTATGGTTCATCTTCAAAGTCATGCTCTCCGAGGCCTAAAATCGATATTTTCTCGGCACTTTTCTTCACATTTTAAATGAAAATCACGCGTTGTTATCAAAATAACCATTAAATATGAGTAGAAGAATTATAAAATCATAATAGGATGGAATAGATTGGGTTATTTGTTTTTATTATGTCAGGGGCCAGGGAATATCATACCAATTCATTGGGTACAAATTTGGTTAGCAAATTTGGTAGTTGTTACAAATGAGGACAAGCAAAGAAGGAAAAATACTATTGTTCATGCAATTATAAGGTGGAATGATAACATTATTGTACTTTCTTACTAAAAAAAGATAAAATAATAGTTAAATTTTGAGTCAATAATTTAGAAAGCTGTGAAAAGAAGAAATGGTTGTTTGGATTTGATGAAATCTCTTTTTCAAGTATAAGAATGTAAAGATGAGATCACAAATTTAGTTCCTCCTATAATTGGTGATATTGCGCCTGTAATAGGAAATAATAAAAAGAAAAAAAAGCTGAAACATACAATATTTTTAATCTTCAAAGCAATCGAAATTACAAAATTAAAGTCCCGACTCTTGACGACAACCAACTTTTGGGTTATATAAGAAAACGCAAATATATTGTATTTCGTAATAAATAAAACGTAAATCCACTGAATATTTGTGGAAACCCTTTCTCTCAATAGCTTGTACTAAAAAAAACGCAAATCCCAAACACCGAAGTTAGAGAGAAATAAGTTTAAAAGAGTTTCAGTTAAAAACATATTATTTTTTGATCCTCCTTCGTATCAATTTTTATTTATTTATTTGGAAATTGCGGTGTTGAAAAGAAAAATATGAAGAGTTGAAAGATGATCATGCTACTTACCGAGCAAGCCATGGAGACCAAGTCCTACCGAGATAAATCTTCAGCTGCCATGTATTGGATTAAATCTTAAATAGGAAAATAAAAAGGATAGAAGCAAACAGAAAAGAAAATTCATATGGTTATCTTTTAGAAGGAGGGACCGTGATTGAGACAGATGAGACTCTTAAATGATAAATCTGGTATTTTGATGCCTTAATTATTTGTTGGTATCCCAAAATCTCTCCATCTTTTCGCTGCTTTTTATCTCTGTAAAATGGCTCTTTCTAGAACATAAAGCTCAACTGGGTCGTTCTGATATTTTCCTCTCTCTCTCTCTCTCTCTCTCTGGTTGTTTTTGCCTGCCTTGCTCTGCTTTTCCGGGAAAGTTACTTCCTTTTTTTTCCTTCATATTTCTGTTGCAAAACGTCTCCTTTGTTACCTTGTTTGTGCATACATCTCGAAAACTACCACAGGAAAAACCCATCAATCTCTCACTCAGAAAACTCTTTTCAAAACTTCTCTCATTTTCTCCGGATTTCTTTTCCTTCGAAATTATCGGGGAAAGCTTGTTTCTTTCTGGGAATTTCGTGGGTTTTCTGGTGGGTTTGATTCAGCTTGAAGGGTTAACGTTGAATTGTTGTGACTTGATCAAGGACAAGTCCGTATGTTGAAAATCTACCAAACCAGAACCGGCTTGAGTTTTCTTTAAGGTTAGTGAAAGGAAGAAAAAAAAGAGAGTCAGGAATTAGAAAAACCAAGAAAAAAGCGTAGAGAATTGAGTTTGTTTTCTCTGTCCGTGTCTCGAGAATTGGCCGGAATTTAAATTCTGGGGAGAACGGAAATCAGTTGGGAATTGATAGCATTGCCAGCGAAGACTCTCTGTGAAAAAATAACAGAGGTGAGAAGACTTAGTACTTAGAGTTGCCCGTGAATTTTTCTGTCGAAACGTCAAAAAATAGAAGTCTTTCGTAGGCCCATTTCGCATTTTTGCCATTTTCTCTGTCTCTCTGTTTTCTAGGGAAATCAAATTCCGACAATCAGTCTCTCCCTTTCCCATCTCTCTCTCTCTCTCTCTCTCTCCCCTCTGTTTCTCTCTTTCTGTTTTTATAAGGTTCGCTCTGTTTTTCGGGTTGGGGTGAGAGAAATCTTTTTTGTTTTCGTTTCTCTCTCTCTCTCTCTCTGATTCAGGGTGAGCGAAAATCTCCAAGTTCGCTCTCTCCCCCCCCTCTCTCTATCTCTCTCTCCATCTCTCTCTCTCTCTTTTAAAAGAATCACAGAGAAAAAAAATATGATTTTGGACAAAGGGTCAATGCAATCAAACCTTGAGTGCTTCCTCCATTGTACAACACCAGTGCTCCAATCCCAATTCCTACCCAAGGTTTGTAATTTTCTCCCTTTTTCTGTTTCTGGCTTGTTTGTAAATGATTGATTTTTCATCAAATTGCATGCTGATTTTGTTTTCTTGTACATGTTGGTATTGATGATCGTGCTGCAGTCTGAGATTAGGAACCTCAACCGTATATGGCACCCATGGGAGAGAGAACAGGTTGAGTATTTTACATTGAGTGATCTCTGGAATTGTTATGATGAATGGAGTGCATATGGTGCTGGAGTTCCTATTGCCTTGGACAGCGGCGAGACCCTTGTGCAGTACTATGTGCCTTATCTCTCTGCTATTCAAATTTTCACCAGCAATTCATCTGTGAATAGCTTCAGGTATCAATTTCAGTTTTCACACATGCAATTCTCCTTGTGGGTTTTACTTATATCTGAGGTTGAATTAGATTTGTAGTAGCTGTGCCTGCTTGGTTTGGTAATCTAATTGTTGGGGTGATCAAATTTGTAAAATGCTGGTTTTGATTGGCTCAAATATGGCATCATTCAAGTTTTTTTTCTTGTTCGAAAGCATCGTTCGAGTTTGTTATCTGTGTGGCTATTGTGTATCTGGTGGTGTTTTTGGATGTGCTGTACCATTGAAATGCTTAGATTCAGATATTGGTTAGTTGGACAACATTGATTTGGTAATACATGCTCTTCTGATATGGTTTACTTATTCCAACTTTATATAATTTACAATTGAATTAGGTATCTGTGTTTCTTAAACACCTGCAATGGCAAAATCACATTTAAATAAGTTTTTCAGGGAAGAGGCCGAATCGGGTGACTGTGAGACAAGGGATTCGTTTAGTGATTCATGCAGTTTTGAGAGTGAAAGTGATAAATGGAGATGGGATGGATGCTCCTCAGAAGATGGTGGGTTTGAGCAAGACAATCTCTGGCATGTGAATGATAGATTAGGGCACCTATATTTTGAGTATTTTGAGAGATCAACTCCCTATGGAAGAGTTCCTCTCATGGATAAGGTACCCTTTTCTTAGTTCATAAACCTTACTTTGTAGCTTTCTATTTTTCTCATTCTTTCGGTTTGATTTGTGTCCTATCTGCTTACCCTTTTTCTCCTTAACAAGATAGATTAAACATAAGCGTAATCAAAACATTAATGGATTTGTTATAGTCATCTGACTACTTTCTCCTGTTTGTTAGGTATCTAAACTTTAGACCCTAAATATTAAAATCGATATGTCCCTTTAATGATTATTCCTCCTCTCTCTCTCTCTCTCTCTCTCTCTCTCTCCCGCACACACACACACACACGCACAAAGAGAGACATAGTTATCATTTATAATTTAAATTTGTTTATCTTGTATTTGTAACTATCATTTGTCTTCATGAGAATATGTTCTTGCCTTGAATGTTCTTTTCTCTTTTTGACTTTTACTGTTTTGGAAGAAGAATGTATGATTCCCTTCAAGACATGTGTTTATATTTTTTTGGATGGTTGTGAAAACTAATGCTGATTCGCTTCTCAGGTTCCGTTTTACTATCCGTATAATAAAAGCATATGGATTTGATTGACACTTTGTTCGTTCTACACTTTCAGATCAATACATTAGCTCAAAGATACCCTGGCTTGATGTCATTGAGGAGTGTTGATCTATCACCAGCTAGTTGGATGGCTGTTGCTTGGTATCTCTCTCTCTCTCTCTCTCTCTCTCTCTCTCTCTCTCCCCCCCCCATGCACGCCTGAACACATGACACCCAAATAAATAACTACATTGAAGCAGAGTAGTAAAGCATGCTTCTCTTTCGACCAAAAAAAAAAAGCATGCTTCTCAACTTTTTCATTTTGTTGCTTCGTAGCGCAGAGTGTGCAACACTTAGGAAAATCAGTCCCACATCAGCTTTAATTATGCTTTGTAGAGAATAATTACCGCTTGTAATACCCAACAATGACTCTAATTACACACATTAGCATGTTCCCTTATTAATAGAAATTCATATTTATTTTTAACATTGTCAATGTGATTATTTTCAGGTACCCAATTTATCACATTCCCATGGGAAGGACAATAAAGGATCTGTCCACGTCCTTCCTCACTTACCACACCCTTTCATCTTCTTTTCAAGGTATTCTCTCAGTCCATTTCAATTTGTTTGTTTCTATGTTCATGCCATTTTCACCTTAAATATCTAAATTCTCAGAAGGCTATATGCACAATATTGAACTAACACTACATGATGCTCTCTGTGTAGACATGGACCTCGAGGATGATATGGAGAGCGATGAACAAAGGAAGCGAAAGAAAGGGGAAAGCATCTCTCTCCCTCCATTTGGCTTGGCCACTTACAAGATGCAAGGGAATGTGTGGGTCTCAGGCAATTGTGGAAGGGACCAAGAAAGGCTCATGTCACTATTGAGCGTGGCTGATTCTTGGCTAAAGCAACTTAGGGTCCAGCACCACGACTACAACTACTTCACGGCCATTCCGCGTGGTGGCCAGTGCCACTACTTTTGAAAGAGAAAAAGAAGAAGAAAACAAACTCGAAAGTGATTGACCACGCTAAAATCCTCACTTTGGATAATTTGGTTTTTGTTGACCTTTGTTTTGGAGTAAATTGGATACAAGTCTTGAGGATTTTGTGGTTGATTTCTTCTTCGTGCCGCATGTAATTGGTTATTGATAGGGTGTTTTAGTGTTCATCCCCATGTATGAGATAAGTAGAGGGTATGTGATGACTTTGACTCCTTTTGTTGGGCCTTTTGTATTTAGTTAGTAGGGAGAGATGGGTGAGGTTAGAGAGAGGCGCTTGAATTATGAGTTTATAATAGTGCTTTCTGTAAATTATATTCCCTTGACCATTTTATATATATAAAAAAAAAACCTGTGGGAGATGAGGAAAATGCCTTCTAGTCCTGGTCCTGCAGCTCTTTTTTTTTTTTTTTAAATTTAAAATTTAAAATTTAAAATTTCTTTTTCTACAAATGTGCCAAATATGTGATCATTTCTCATGAGTCCAAGACCGCATATTGGTTGGCACACTGGTCTTGGTCTCTCTCTCTCTAGGAAAAGAAAAAGTACAAATGGCAGAGTCTAGGAGTAGAAACTAATAATGCTCATATGGGGATTTGTGGATAATCTAAAGTTACAAATCTAGAGAAGTGGGGTCCATGGTTGTGTTGTGCTTGCATCAACCAAAACACTTTCTGGCCTTGAAAAGGTTGCCTTCACTTGCGGTGTTTCCGTCATCCTATGTGCTCGCGGCCATTGAACACCCGATAGGTCATCAAGGTGTTGTTTTTAGTCGATTGGTTCCTCCATGGTATTTAATATTTGGGTTAAAGAGTCATCATCAAGGCGCAATAAAATGTTTGATCTCACCCTGTCAATTTGTGGAAAATTGAATCATGGAAGGATATATTCTTTTCTTTTTTTGGTCAGGGTTGTGATTACCATACAACAAAGTTGACCACAATTTTGGGAGTTGTTTGGGGGTTGGAATTAGATCAGCAAGGTGAATTCATATTAAGTATTAGGTATTTAATTAATGATTTTTTAATATAATAATGCTATTAACAAACGTTTTAGTAGGACATAAATAAATATAATCCAAAGAGCTAGTGGCATTTTTCTGTCATGCTTTTTGAGATAGATATAGGATAGGATCAGACCTGAGAATGGTGCGGCAGGAATTGTGGTAGCTATTGCCTAAAGGCATTGAGACCGAAACATTCTAACTAGCTTACCGTGTGAAAAGAATGTTTGGCTGGCTACAAGCCTAGAAGAACTCTCTTTCTCTTGGATGTCCAAGTCTCTAGTGGGAAGCAGGAGGGTTATAGCTTTATTAGTGTCCTAAAAGCCAAATGCAATTCGCCTTTAATTTGTCATACAACTTTTTTTTTTTTAATTTATATAAAGAAAAAACAATTGTACGGAGTGAGGAATTGATCTCAGATTCGATGGAGCGGATACAATATTTTGATCAACTGACCTATCCCATATTAGTAAGTTTAGAATAATATACTAATTTACTCAAGCTCTAGCTAGGAGGAACTATTTAGGGTTTAAGTGTTATTGAATGCCATTAGCTAGTGCTCCATTGCTTATCTCTTTATATCCCCATGCCATCCAATAATGCACAAGACCTAAATCTTAAAATATAAAAAATTGGATAATGAACCCACGCTTCCATTTCATCAACCCAAATTCAGATTTATGAAATTCTTTATTGTATTGTACATGGCACATGTACAATGTTAGTGGTTTCTAAGACAATCCCATTGACTAAGAGGAGGAGGGCTCTTTTTTTAGTGCAACCGACTATGTGATCCACTTATTAGGTTTTTGGTTGACAAAGTGGAAAATCCCAAACTTCACTATCTTATCTAGACAAAGAACGTCATTGATCTTAAAAGTGCAACCACTAACCATGCATATATATATATATATATATATATGTATTTGTAGTTTTGTGTTGTGTTGTGAACTGAAATAAATATACAAGGACTTTGGAGCCCAACTACCAACAAACATCAAATTGCACTACGCATGGGCATTCTCCATTGGGGCTTTGTTTTGGTCGACGGACATTGATCATGGATGGATTTGCTGTATTGCACTTGGGATGTTACTTCACTAAATTTGATGATCCATTTGACATTATAATAGCTTGCCACATGCCATGCTAAGAACTTCTCTCCTTTCAACAAGACATTAAACTTGTAATATAACCACATCTAAACTACTATTTTCACACGTTTAAATGTGTGGATCAAATTCATATTCTAACAAATTGAGCATTTATTTGACAATTTAAGTTTCGCAAGTGACAACTTCTCTGGTTTTAAAGAATTTGTTGTGTTTCGGTCATTTTTTAAAAGATACGCACTGTTATACAATATTCTCTTCTCTCTCGAGTTTGTAGAGAGTAAAAACCCTATAGACTAACAGCAGTTGCAGCCTCCTTTGGGGGTCAGTGGCTTCTCCACCCCCCCTTTTTTTCCCTCTCCTCTCTCTCCATTGTCGTTTCTCTAACTCTCTCTCCCTCCTCCAGTCTTCCCTCCCTAATTTTAGGGAGACTTTGGGAGTCGAGATCCGTTTGGATCTTGGATCCTCTTGCCTAGATTTGTTTGGATCTTGGAATTTGTTTTGTGTGTTTTTGTTGTAGGTTCTTGGTGGATTTATGTTGCTGTTCGATCTTTTACTTGATTGTGTTGTCGCTGGGATGGATGGGTTGTGGTAGCTGTCGACCCAGCTTCTTTTGTTTTGTTGTGTTGTTGAAGCAGTCACTGCAAATCACTGTAGTCACCATGATATAGTTTCTGCTTGGTCCACACACACAAGGTTTTTCTACAATTTTGGATTTGGAGCTACAAAAATGAAAGTTGACGGTTTGTGTTGGATTGGGTTTTGCTTGTGCGGCACTATGAGTTTAGCTGGTATGGCGCTACAAGTCTTTTTGGTTTGTTGGAGAGAACGTGGAGCGGTGTTCTTGTTTCTTTGTTTGTTGTAGTCTAATAATTCTCAAAAACTCTTTAGGAGTTTGCTAAAGTTTGTATTTTACTTTTTGACTTTTTGATACAGATTTTCCATTTATGCCGTTGCATAGTGGATCTGTATTGCAAGTCTGAGTATAAGTGCTTTTGTCTACCGAATCGGAGTTTTAAGGCTTTTTATGTTTATGCATAATTCTCTTCGGATTAAACCAAATTGTTTTTGTGTTTGGTCACTAGAGATATTGTACTCATATTTGTTACTATGATTGCTCTGTACTTTTTTTCTATTTTTATCAATAAATTACTATCCCTTTTTCTATAATAAAAAAAGAAAAGAAATTGTTGTGTTTTATGAGTATCTCGAGTGCAAATATGTTCAAAATTCGATATTATCACGGTATCACCTACTAATATTAATGATTCTAAGTATACAAATTATATTATCTTTTTCATGTATACTGTTAAGATTTTAGAGAGATGGACCCTTGGCCCACCACCAGCAACATCGATATTGTCCACAACTTAATCACCTGTTTAGCAGGTGTGAGGTTTTTATACAAAAGGCCTTGATGTTATTAAGAGTGGAATCATTTATTATATGAGACTTTCTATTTTGTTAAGTTTCCGATGTAGGACTCGTGTATTCTTCAACACCCCTCCTCACGTGGGACCATTTTTTAGTGGGCCACACTTGCAATCAATTCCACTTCAATCATCTTTTTTTATTATTTTTAAGTTAGGGTTTGTTTGATTTTGATTCAATTTGGGGTTTTTGTTTGATTTGAGTTTGTTTTGATTTGGGTTTAATCATGCCTAGTCAACCGACCCGCTCTGATACCATGTTAAAATATGAATATGGTTTGAATACTTTGGGTTGAGTTTTATTCTTCTCCATGAGGAGGTATATATATGAGTTTACATTAGGGTTTTACAAGGAATGATATACAGTAAAAAATTAGGAAAATATCTCCTAATTGTACAATGATTTATCACTTATATAAAAATAGGAAAGTAAGTCCCTTAATTAATCAAGGAAGTAAATCTCCTTGATTAATTAGGAGACTCACGTCAACATATAGTACATGTTCAAGTATAACTCGAACCTTCTCAATTTTCCACATGGAATCAAATTTGTTTCTTTGGCAAATCGAATATAAGTATTATGCTCAGATCAAATTTGTTCATTTGTGTGTCGTACGTATAAGTTGAAAGCCAGTAAATAATTGGTTTCCAAAAGATGGCTGTTGATTTTGTCAAGTAGACATTACTCTGAAGTTGTGTTTTGTCAAACGATGGTGATTGATGAACAACTTTTATTTTGGACTTGTGAAAATCATAAAACACCCAATTGAGGGAGGCCTTACAGGGCTTTTAGCCTGCAGCTTGGTGGGATGGTTGAACAAAACCTTATTTTGAGCTTCCAATTGCACCCATCAATTTGATCAATGCACCCTCAGCAGCTTCTTCCATTCACCTTCACTTATCTCCTTCCCATTTATGGTTTGTGTCATCATCGTTAGGTCAAACCTTTGATTCAGTAGATACTGCACAATTGGAATAATGAGAAATGCATTAAAATTATGAAGAATTGTCGCGAAGCTATCTCTAAGAAAATTGGGAAGGTGGTTATTATAGATTGCAAAAATCTCATGAGACGTGAGAGGAGATATTGAAGGTAAGGCGATTTGTGCTGCAATTTGAGACAAGGTCTTGGCCATGAGAGTGTATGATGTCTGCAATGCCAAGCTCCACAGCATACTTCAAGGCCGTGCTTTCAACAAAGTTTGTTGACGCAGAAAAATGGTTCGGCACTTTCCCGCGTAACTTAGTAATGTTATGCCTTCGGTATGCTATGGGTCTCGGTAGGGCATTGGATCTGCAAGATAACAAATGCTCGGTAAGACCTAGGGCACCGGTGTGGTACCGGCCGAAGGCTCTCCGATGCTTAAGTAAGTACGGGTTTAGTAAGACTGAACTACAGATCAATAGGCAGTATGCCGTAAGTTCTGATTGATTACCTACTAGTTGGGATGGTTGTCCTCTTTTATAGGCCTTGGGAGGTGGGCAAATTGTTTGGAATTTCGATGTGGGACTGTGAACTCCAATTGTGGGACTGCCACGTGCCCCTTGCAGTGGAGTTGCCCTAATCATGCGATCGGTAGGAACGAACTGTAGCTAGGTGCCGAAGGCTTCGATAGCTATAAATTGGTCCACGTGTCCGATGTTTATTGACTGTTCATTTGGGTATAAACAGGAGTCCCCCAAGTTCTCTTTTGAGAGTTCTCGGAAGGGGACTTGAAATTGTCTACGACAGGAAATGTTGTCCTATCGTTCGGTAGCCCAGCTGGTGGAGGGGCTCAACTTTGGCCACTCCGTCCTTGTTCATTCAGAGGCTGACGTCGGGGAAG